GTGCATCTTATGCCAGAGGTCCAGGAAGCGTGTATGAAGGACCTGGGATCATACTGTAGCCATAGTATAGAGAAAGGACAGGTTCGTTTTACCACAATATGTGATTATGGTTGACATTATATTATATATTATGATTAACATATATTGTCATATCATTATCTGTGAAATAGAGGATATTATATGGGCACGCGGAGATACAGATTTTATCTCCGAGTGTTGAAAAGATCTCTCACGAGTGAGCGTAGCGAACRAGYGAGAGATTTTCAACACGAGAAGATAAAATTTGTATCTCCAAGCGACCATGTAATATTCTGTTTATCATATAATTACATACATGTATGAAAGCAAATTATGCCGTAAAATCTTTTTTTTCTTACTTCCACTATATAGAGAAACCTCGAATATGTTATTTTCACTAGTGAAAATATCAATTTTACGAAATGGAGAAATATAGGTATTTCATAGATAATTATATGATAAATACATTTCTCCATTCGAAAAGTTGTTATTTTCATAATTACACATTCAAGGTTTTTCTATTATAGTGGAATTAAGAAAAAAAGGATTTTACGATTTTATTTTTTTTACAATATAAATTGCTTTCATATTTATAATTATATGATAAATAGAATATCACATGGTCGCTTGGAGATACAAATTTTATCTTCTTGCTATGCTCACTTGTGAGAAATTTTTTTAACACTCAAAGATGAAATCCATATCTCCACGCGCATATGTAATATCCTCTATTCATGTGAGCATGCAGAGATATGGATTAATTGTACAAAAGGTTTTAAAAAATATTTTATTGTTTTATAATAGGAAATAGACTGTTTACAAACAAACTTTGAAAAACTTGACGAAAGGTGCAGGGCAGTCATTAAGAATTTCACGGAGGATGAGGGGCAGGTGAGCTGTTTTTAATGAAGTGTGATTAGTAATAACAAGTAGTTCATAATATAATGTAACATTGTTATTATAGCTATTTCAAAAAAGGTTGTCGGATAAAATGGCAAATGTCAGTGGTCGAATGGTGATTGTCCCCGCATTATATAAAACTTTGTTAGATTCTTGTAAACAGCGTGTGCGCTAATCATTGTAATTTTTTGTGTAAACCGTTAGTCGCGCGTGCACACTTTGCATTTTTGCCACTGCACTGAAGAAGATTGCAGTTGCGATCGAAACGTCTGCATTGAATTTTATTATTCAAGTTAGAGACGACTCAATTTTCTTATCATACTGTAAATCGTGTTAAAGTATATTTTTAGGGCTGTCAACCACTAACAACTGGGAGAGTTGACAGCCGTTTATTTCTGTCTTTAATTTGCGCAGGGCAAGTTACATCAATACACGTATTAAAATCAATGTTCGATTAGTGATCTTAAATTAATCTATTTTTGTAGGACTAYCAACTGGATCAGACTCTTGTCAAAGTGTGTACTGGAATGGTGACTAAATTCTGTGGGGTAGGTATAGATGATGCAGTCCAGTCCTGGTTTCAGCTCTTGGAAGTCATGCAGAAATTAAAATGCAAGAGTTGTCAACAACTGTGCTTTCAACAACTAAACTTCAATGTTCTCAATGTTTGACCTAGCTGATAGTTTCTGTCATGGTTCTTAGGTCACTATCTTGAGAGATGATGGAAGCCTTCTGTCATATCTATCTATCGTTGAAGACAAGATGGTCTACCTTTTAAGATAGTTCTGAGAATCTATTGTTGAAAGCTTGTTTCACAAAATGATATTCCTTATTTGTCATTACATTTTTTTGTGAATGAAATGTTGTTCGTTTTGTACAATAGGATGTAGCCAACCTCCTTATTTGTCATTACATTTTTTGTGAATGAAATGTTGTTCGCTTTGTACAATAGGATGTAGTCAACCGAGGTGAAAGTGATGGAGTTTTACCTTGCTTGATAGAGCATAAAAACGACCCAGAGATGGATGAAAAATGTAAAGCATCCATTGAACATTGGCAGCTGGTAAGAGGAAGCCCTGTCNAAAATCAATGTTCTATTAATGATCTTAAATTAATCTATTTTTGTAGGACTACCAACTGGATCAGACTCTTGTCAAAGTGTGTACTGGAATGGTGACTAAATTCTGTGGGGTAGGTATAGATGATGCAGTCCAGTCCTGGTTTCAGCTCTTGGAAGTCATGCAGAAATTAAAATGCAAGAGTTGTCAACAACTGTGCTTTCAACAACTAAACTTCAATGTTCTCAATGTTTGACCTAGCTGATAGTTTCTGTCATGGTTCTTAGGTCACTATCTTGAGAGATGATGGAAGCCTTCTGTCATATCTATCTATCGTTGAAGACAAGATGGTCTACCTTTTAAGATAGTTCTGAGAATCTATTGTTGAAAGCTTGTTTCACAAAATGATATTCCTTATTTGTCATTACATTTTTTTGTGAATGAAATGTTGTTCGTTTTGTACAATAGGATGTAGCCAACCTCCTTATTTGTCATTACATTTTTTGTGAATGAAATGTTGTTCGCTTTGTACAATAGGATGTAGTCAACCGAGGTGAAAGTGATGGAGTTTTACCTTGCTTGATAGAGCATAAAAACGACCCAGAGATGGATGAAAAATGTAAAGCATCCATTGAACATTGGCAGCTGGTAAGAGGAAGCCCTGTCAGTAAAGTCTAATCAACTAAAAAACTTTGACTAGTTTACAAAATACTTTATTTTGCTGTTGTACTATCTGCATCTCACCTAAAATCGCCACAAAAACTGCTTGGGGACTGATGCTGAAGAGGAGCAAGATTATTTTTTTTAAGAAATAAAAACAAAAACCTTATAGAGAGAATAATTCAAGAGTTGTTTCTCTTTGAACTAAACAGTTGGTGCAGTATTTTATCGTTCTGACAATGAGAATGAGAAAATACTGCACCAACTGTTTAGTTCAAAGAGAAACAACTCTTGAATTATTCTCTCTATGAGGTTTTTGTTTTAACTTTAATTCATTTCTTACAGATTGAACTCAAGGATTTCACATTCTCAGCTAATTTCAAGAAAGCATGCAGAAAAGATGTRGAGAAGCTTTGCCCAAAAGCTCAAAATAAGTATGTGGATTATACCATGTACTGCTGTTTATTTCAAAGTTTTGGTCAATAATCCTAGTATGTAATATCTTCTAATATTACTCAATTAACATGGTAATAATAATCTCTTTTAGGCATGATGTTATTAAGTGTTTAAGCAAGCATGTCAGAGATGCTGTTGTGGAAGAGCAGGCTCATGTTGTTTCTGAAAAGTGCCGAAAAGAACTTCATGTTGCTGAAGAAGAGGAGGTATGTATAAGGAAGTCTGGGTTTGAGGTGGACATACAGTGACTTTGCTTTTCTTTCTGGTGCCTTTTCTTTCTTAAGGAGAGAGGCATTTGAGTTCTTGAACATTGCCAAAAAAATTGAAATCATTCCAAAAATTTAAACCAAATGTAGACAACCCAGTATCGTTTGGGCCATTGATTAATTTAATGAAATAATATGTAATTGGTAAACAAGTGAAAAAAAATAAGATTAAATTAAAACTAACTGGTTTGTTGGCATATATTTACAAGATACTGTAAATTAACTACAAAAAAAATGAATCCTTTTGCTTGACACTAAACAAAATGTGATAAAACCATGCACCAAAAGGTTTGAAACCACTAATAGAATTTATAATACTGTTGATTACTATTCAATAAAAGTTGTATTGATTTTGTGTTTTATTTTGTCAGGGAGAAAACATCAAGTTTGATCCAGAACTTTATGGAGCTTGCACTAAAGATGCAGAGACATACTGCTCTGATGTGACAGAAGGACAAGCCAAGGTAACTATCATTATTACATGAATGATATTTTATAGTGTTACTCGGTGGTGTTTATCATGAAAAAAACTCATTTCTAGTACTCCTATAGTCCCAGTTTCCTTAGAACAACACAATACACAGTATGCGGTGGTCGGTCTAAGCCCACAATCAATATTCTTTATTGCAAAAAACCTCCCCTACATAACAACATGAACTTCTTCACCCTGTCCACTCTCTGAATAATCCTAAATGTACATTTGATATAATAAAATAAAATAAAAAATGAAGTTATAAAAACAAACTTAGACCACAATAGTCTAATTGAAATCGCTTCATCCTTATATACACAGCTCCTATTTACATAATGTGAAGTGCACAATAGTGCCCAGTCCTAAGGAAATTATTTCTCTCTCACTCTCCACTCGCTACACTCATGCGTTACAAGAGAAATACATTTCTTATGTTAAATTGTGCCAACCATGATCAGAATGGCTTTTCACAAGTCACTTTGTTCTAACAGCCAATCGTCTTCTGGTTGGCACATGAATAACAAAGGATTACATCACATTGAGTATCGCTATTCTTACTTTCTTGATGTTTTCAGAGGAACACATTTTAATAACTAAATCATCTGTAATCAGTATAACGTATCAGTTCATGGTTTGTTATTATATTCATTATTTTTATATTAATTATTTTGATGGTGCCATGTATTGCATCAAGAAAATAAAATGTTACTAACTTATGAAGGAATCTTATTTCTTTCTGAAATAAAATTAAATTGTTCTTGTCATCCATCATAATGGTCATTGATATAGTACATTCTCTTGTTTACAGTCAACATGTTGTTGTAGGTCGGTAGTGTACTGTATTGGTCTGTAATGTCTGTAGTATAACTCTGCCATTTTTTCCTTGTCTATTTTACTGTCCCACAGTTTTTCAAGTTTCTTTACCAAAAGTTTCTCTCCACTCTTTACCAGTTTTTGAGTTAATATTAAATATCTATATTTTCAGGTACTTGAGTGYCTWAAGGACAATATGGAGTCTTTGTCAAAGGAATGCCATGCACAGGTGTTTGAAAGAGAGGTATGTTTCCATATAATTTTGGCTCTTGTGCTAAAAAAGCAAAATGTCATGTGCAGTTTCCTATGCTGTCTTGAAGGCAGCATTGCCTAGTCTTATCAACAGTAAGACAGAAGTGATTTCCATCCAAAGACAACACTGTAAATATACAAAGTTTAGTGTTATTTTGTCTTATCTGGTGGCTACCCTTTCAAGAAGACAAATTTTCCCTTGAGATTCAGGTTATTAAAAGCAATGGCAGCCATTATTAATGGTTTGAATAAATGAAAGTCACTGCAACAGTTACTGGTGATACTCTTTACTCTTTTTGGTGTTTGAGGAAAATAGTACATTTAACCAACAAGAACTCAGTTTTTTAAAATTCGACATTATTTTGAAAAACTTGATTTTAATTTTTAATTTTTTGCCTTAACAGAAAGTAGAAATGCAAGATCCCATGGTCGATTGGAAACTAGTTAAGACATGTCAAAAAGCAATTGAGGTGATTTRAAGTGCAATGTTTGTTGTATTAATTGTGTAAAGAATGCTCTTATTTGCAGCATGGTCGTTGTTATCATCAACAGTGCAGCTAACAGTACATAAACAGTGATTTATCAGTGGTCGCCTTTGTCTGAATGAAGAAAAGCCCCATTCACGGACAAAGAAACCATTATCCAGCAGCTAAAATCCATACAAAATCAATTTAGTGGATAACTTAATCCATCAAAACAACATATAGATGATGCAATTAATGATAAAAAAAGTTCTTTACAACATAAAGAAACGAAGTATTCAATAGTAAATATATAACCATGTTTCCTTTTGTTTCCTGACAGCATTTCTGCCCAGAAACTGATCCAAGAGACATCTTGAAATGCCTCAAAGAGCACAAACATGAACCAGAGATGGATAAGAGGTAATAGGTTAAATTCATCATAAACCTTCTCGCATGTTATGAAAAGCGTCTTGTCAACATTTGCAGCTTTTCTTGTCAGTTTTTTTATTCTGGTTTTCCAGTTTTTTTTTGTATCCTATTTATATTTTTTGTCTTAATTTTTGTAGGTGATTAATTGCCTTTAATTAATTTGTTTTGTGTTTTAATTCAGGTGTTTGGCTATTGTGACAAAACGGCAAAAAGCACAGTATGAAAGTGAGTTGTTTCTTCTTGATGAAATAGAAAGTCTAATTGCTAAATAATTTAATGTCGGAAGGCTGTATTATAATCATGTAGGCTTTGTATATATCTACAATATGATATTGTTTTGAGTGGTTTCCACCAAGTATTTTGAATGTCTTTTGGTGCCAATCCAATGCTTTGTGTAACTGTAAAATGACAGAATAATGTGACCTCTTACATAAAAGAATCATTCAATAGTAACATCAAGACAGTAAGCTACTTCATGGCTATCTAAAGAGTAGCTCACAGATGTTTGACAGATTGCTCACAAATTGTTTGTAGACTGATGCTTGGGAGGAGCAAGATTATTCTTTTATAACTCAAAGGGATTGCTCAAATCTTGTTTCGGAGATTGATGCTAAGGAGAAGCAAGATTATTACTTTATAACTCAAAGAGATTGCTCATGTCTTGTTTACAATTTAGCTCCATTTAACATAATGTTGTTGTACGTTTTTGTGTGAGAAGTCACATTATATAAATGTCAATACTTTGCATTTCAGCTTATTTTTTGTTTAATTCTTTCTTCAGATGATGAGCTCGACCCTGAATTGCATGGAGCTTGTAAGAGAGACATAAAGAAGTTCTGTAAAAATCTCAGTGGCCATGACATGGGACAGATGATGACTTGCCTTAAGACTCATTTAGATGTGAGTACCCTTATCTTCTATTTTCATCAAATTATACTTTGCCAGCATCTTTTTTTTTTGTTGGGAGGGGTCAGGGGGGATGCGGGAGTAGATCAGGATTTTAGCTTTGGTAATGTGATCACAAATTGCTAGGATCAGGATTAGCAATAAGCTGTTAAGAATACAAAGGATTTTACACTAAATAAAGTAATAAAATGGAGAGGTTAGATTTGCTGTGACTCTACGTTTCATACTTACACATAGTATTTGATAATGTCTGACGGGTGCGTAAGCTCGAAACTCAGTCATGCAAATTTTGCCTCTGTTTTATTATTACTTCATTTACTTAGCTCTACACTATTTGTGTATTGGGTGATGTTTAATGGCATTATAGCTCCTTTCTTATATGACTAGGATTTTACATTACATTTTAGAGGATAAGGGATTAAATTTTAGAGGAAATTACAAGGAACCAGAATTTTTCCCTGAATTGCAATTACATGAAAAATATTTACCATGTTACCATGCCACTGAGTTGAATATAAATGGTACACATCTTGTTCAATCTATGAAATTGCTTGCTGACAGTGGAATCTTTAAAACTATTGTAGAGGTTGTCAGAGGAATGTGAACACTACGTTCGGTCTGTAACAAGAGAGGAATCACTAGACTATCGACTTGATCCAACTCTTTCAAAGAACTGTAAAACTGAGGTGAGAATGCAGACCATTAATAAATCATCAAAATAATTTGCTTGGAGTTGATGGGTTTGCAACTTCATATAACAACTTCATAACGTTTTTCTTTCATCTAATATTCATTGAATATATATATGAATTTTAAAATACTGCTAACAACACACTAGACCGCTTTAAGTCCACGGAAATGCAGCTTCAACTGGATGTCGAAACAAAATTTATTCTAGTTCTTAAGAGGGAAAAAATTGTTTGTTTTGACCTCCAGATAATGCTGCTTAGAGGTCATGTGGAAGGGGTCTATAAAAATGCAAATAAAATTAAGCATGCAAGGGGTGGGCCGCCTGTTGTAGGAGTGGTATCGTTAGAGTAGGGAGCAATGTTTCAATTAAGGCAACAAATTTTTGTAAAATGTGTTGTGTTTTCTGTTATTGGTATAAGAGGGATTGTGGCTATACGTGTATTGTTGAAAGTTATACACCTTAATATAAAACATGAAATGTTATTTTTCAGATTAACCAGCTTTGCAGTGACGTTGAGCCAGGAAAAGGCAGAATGGAACAATGTCTCAGAAAGCACTTTGGCAAAATAGTTCCTTCATCAAGATGCTATGCTGTATGTTTGATTGATTTATATATATGATATATAATGTATAATGTATAATTAATATAAAATGATGAAAAAGTCACTTGATTTCTACTATTTATTGAACGTTTTGGTCAATGATTCGCCCTTCTTCAGCAAACTGAATGCTTTGCACGTGTCACTGCCACCAAGAAGAAGAAGAAAAGAGTGAATGCCTGAAACGTTCAATAAATAGTAGAAATCAAATTGCAAGTTGTGTGGCTTTTTCATCATTTTATATTATTTATGTATATGATATATAATGGATATGATCACAAATAAAAAAAACCCCTGCAACTTTCAAAATATTTTCCCTAATTTGTCTAACTCTCAAAACAAAAACCACATATGTATTAAAAGTTGCAGAATGTTTTTAGTAAGGTGTATATTTGTCGCTATATATATTTTTATTTGCTATGATTAATAAAAGTGTACTTATGTTCTATTCATGATAATTATATTTTAYTTCCTCATTCTACTACAGGAGGTGATTCGAACCATGAAGGAAGGTAGAACTGATATCTAT